TTCTAGCTTACTGTAGGTATGACAATCACAGATCAAGAGCTAGAAGTAGTAGAAACACCACATATAAGTAGATCGATTAGAAACCTTAGAAATCATATTAACCACAATATGTGATACAAGTAATGTAAATCAAGCACAAGTGACAGATTTATCTCGTGGTTCGGCTCCTCACCAAGGCTTGTCTACCTCCACGTTGTTGAGGTTAGCCACTAAGGGTTAGGGCTTTTTAACCCTTTCTCGTTCTCAAGTCAAGAGACTTAACTCTTGAGACGATGGGTGAGTTTACTAGTTTCAAGATATGGTTACAAACCTCCCGGGGCTACCATACAAGTTGGCAAGATTCACGGGCAACGCTCTAGCCGGTTAGGAGCCAAGCTCTAAGAGTAACAAACGCAACCGCCGATCAAAACGTGAACCAAGTGCTCTTTAGAGTTGAGAAATCAATAGAGCTGCTTTTTAATCGAGTTTTAGACTATTTTCTCTCAAGGATTGATGAAAAAATCAATGGATTTGCTTGGGGGCTTGAGGTCAATAATGAAGGGAGAGAGAGAGAGCTCATGCTCTGTTTTGGACGTGCTAAAGTGAGGAGAAGAGGCAGAGTGCTGTTGGGAAGGAAGGGAAGGGTATAAATACCCTCCGCCCCCAACGGTCACTTAAGTCGCGACAGTGCCGCGGCTCAAGTGCGTCAGTGCCTCTCTTCAAGCGCGGCAGTGCCGCACTACGCAAGACAACAAGGGTAAGAGTGAAGTGTAGACTGTCTTGTCTTTGAATCTGAGGATGCATGCGTATGTTTGAGCACTTGGTAGCACATATTAGCTTAAACATTATGTCTCCATTTATAGTACGGCTTTTGCTATACTCAAATTCAAAATATAAAAGAATTTAAACTTTCTTTAAGTTTGAAGCCATCTACATTTGTAATTGGGGGCTCCTCCGTTTCGTGTAGCATTCTCGAACATGAATTTCCTCCTTTGTCGTCTCGATAAATCTCATTAGTTCTCTAATTACGTGGTTATTATCACAAAAACCCATAATTAGGGCTTGATTGCACTTTCACTTCTCACAGGCACTGACACATGGGACATGTATGTCAGTGCTCTCCCTCCCCTTTTCCTGCTCTTCGCATTCTGCCGGCGCGGTGAGGAGACAGGGAGCGAGGAGAGAGAGGGAACCGAAGGCGGGAGCGGAGCAGCTGTGCGGCGGCGATGGGGACGGATGGCTGTGCTCGCATCGACACGGTGACGGCGGAGCAGCACGCCCGTGCCTAAGTGATGGCGGTGGAGGAGAACACACCACTAGGAGGGGCCGCAACGGCCATGGCCGGAGGCGGTCCCGTGCAACGAAGGGGCCGCGAGCAAGGCCACAACAGGCATGGGAGGGAGCCACGCCGCAGATCTGGCCATGGGAGGGAGCAGGGCCACAGCGGCCATGGGAGGGAGCCTGACGGAGCTCGTTCTCGCACTAGGAGCGAGGAGAGAGGGCGTCTGCTCGCTGGAGTGGAGGTGCTCGCCGGAGGAGCGATCGTTCTCGCGCTTGCGCGGAGGCGGCGCGCGGCTGTGCTCGCGCTTCCGCTGCAGGATGGGGTCCTGGAGGGACGATTTGGGGGCCCAACCAAATTGAGCATTTTACCTGTGTGCCATTATAATAGATGGTCGCGGCCTACGTGCCACTAAAAAGTTCGAATGCACCTATGAGCCATGACACTTTACTTTTTTGCCTCCCAAGCCATTCCGTCCACTTTTCCATCTAACAGTGTCAATCTGCATAGGAAAAAGTCCTAAATACCCTCACGTTGCTTCTTGACCGTGCCTTTCTTCGTTTCCTCCGCCGGTCGTGCCTTTCTTCGTTTCCTCCGCCGGTCGTCTTCGTCCCGTCCTCCACCGTGCGCCAGGGCCAGGAAGCCCCGTGTGCGCCAGGGCGGGGGCGGAGCCAGCCGCGCGGGCGCCGGGGCCGGGGGCGCAGCCGGCCTCGCAGACGTTAGGGTCGGGCGGAGCCTAGCCGCTCGCTGCCTCGACCCTCCATCGTCGGCGTGCCCACCGACAGCACCCAATGATTCCACCGCCTCGGCCACCGTGACCGACGTGCGCGATGGTCGGAACCCGCAGCGCGCCAGCCGCGGCATGAGCGGGCGGAGATGGCAGAGACGGCGAGGGCGCGGAACACATAGAGCGGGAGGAAGGCCGCCCGGGCTCGTTCGAGAAGGAGCTGGCAAGGCACGGGCGCGAGTGGTCAACGGCGAGCGCGCCAGTGGAGGCTCGGCGGGCGGCGCGCGACCCTGCTGCCTGGGGGGAGCTCGGCCCCTGGTCGACGGAGCCGCGCTGTGCGAGCTACGACCTGCGAGCGAGGCCTCGACCGCGCGCCGTCTTCTCAGGGCCCGGTGACGCGTTGGGCCCGGGGCTCGGGGCCGGCGGCGAACGCTGGCCGAGCGGACACCGGCACATCGGGGCTAGGCCGGCGCATCGCGGACGCCGGCGCATCGCGGATGTGAGAGGGAGAGGGGAGCCGGGCTCGCCGGAGTTGGGAGGGGGCTCGCCGGAGTCAGGATGGGGATCGCCGGAGTCGGGAGGCCGGCGCATCGCAGAGAGGGCCACGCGGTTGGAAGAAGATGCCGATGAGGAAAAAAATATAGAGAGCATTTTACGCCTTGACAGAAGGACTTTTTGGACTTTTCACTGACTGGGCCCATGTGTCAGGGCTAACAAACGGCAAAAATCAAACAGAAGGTGAACGGAAATGGTTTAGGAGGCAAAAATGTAAAGTGTCATGACACATAGGTGCGTTTGAACTTTTTAGTGGCACATAGACCGCGACCATCTTTTATCAGCCTGTTCGCTTGGTCGTATTTGGCTTATAAGCCATGGCTTATCAGCCAACGAACAATATTTTTCTCTCATACTAAATCAGCCAACAGTATTTTCAGCCATGGCTTATAAGCCAAACAAGCCTAGACGAACAAGACGTATAATGGCACACAGGTAAAAGTCTCAACCAAATATGAAGTATGTAGTAGGGGTTTTATTGGAGTGATGTTTTTAGCGTGGGTACTCATATTTAGCTATTGGGGGTTTTAGTAGGGGTCCTGCTGGAGTACATGATTGGAGCTGAATTTGTCTGTTTCAACTTGTGCTAAATTATAATTAAATATTAAAATTTGTTAGTCTCATAGTCCTTGTCGGTAATGTTACGACACCTTGGTTGAATAATCTCCTTAGGTGCCCGCTTATGCTGATGATCAAACTACACATAAGCAATGGCAGAGTGCTGTGCTAGTGGGTAAAGATGGCATATATGCTTGAATCAACGCTTGAATTTGCTAAAAGCGTCAGTTACTAGAAGATTATAGTTTGTTTTATGGCTATATATTGGACCAAAAGGTGGTTTGTTCCAAGTACCTATTTTGCTGAGCTCGTGACGGACACTGCTGCTTGGCTTTCATTCCTAATGTCTTGCTAAGAAAATAGGCAAGAAGAGGCAAAACTTGTTTAGCGTTGCGGAAATGCTTGGATTAGGGCGTACGGACGGTTCTCTTTTCATTCGAGGCCGCATCTACTGTTAACGTCACGGACTGAAATGAGTTGGCGCACCACTTTGGGCTTCTTCGCATAGGTTACACATATGTTTTCAAGTATTTTTAGGTGTTTGCATGTGTTTCAGATGTAGCTATTTCGGACACATGTTGTAAGTGTTTCATCTGGATGTTACAAAAGTAAATCTAACGTTACACATGTTGTAATGGAACCACGTGTTGCGGCCGCTTGCTGCAGCTGCTGAGGCGCCACGGTGGGTGACCGTGCGAGCGTCTGAGGCTAGCAGTGCGAGCGTCTAAGGCTAGCAGACGCACCTGTGGCACGCATCCACATACGGAACAGGTGACTGGGAACTAGAGGTGTGACATGAATGTCCGTCCAAACTACCTAATGCCCACGCCTCGTACGACAGCAACGTCGGTTCCATGCCGCACCATGAGGGAACGTGTGCGAGTCAACATGTACTCCATGCTAGGCCTCCGTGCTAATGGTTCGGTTGGGACTGGCGCCCGCGAGAAGAGGCTCGTCCCGTCATGCGCGAACAGGGAGGGGAGCCTGGTGCAGTGGTGTCGCACGACCGCGACTGGACCGTGTGCAGGTCGTGCGCGCTGTCATCTGAAGGGGCGTCTGATATCTAGGGCTGCGCCGGACGTTCGAGCGCCAGTAACTCCGTTAACATTGAGTAATGTCGCGCATGCAAAATAATGCAATTCATGTCGATTTTCTTGCCAGGGTCTTTCTCATTCGCTGACTTTGTAATGTCAGGCGTCGCTTCGCCTGTGGATCTGTGGTAACGCATCCCCATCTCTCTACTGTGCGCGTGCTAGGTTTCGCCTGTGGTAACATATCACCCATCTCTCTACTGTGCTTGTGATGCAACGAAATCTTCACTGCGTTCGGTTGGTACACTTCCAGCTTGTTTTAGCTTATTCGGGTTGATCCATGTCAGGCCCTGTTCGCTTGAACTTATCGGCCATACCGTTTTAGCGAAATAACAATATTTTTTTCTCCCAACAAATCAGTATTAGTATCAATCGTTTTTTAAGCCAGCCGAACAGGACTGGAAATTCTGGTACATAAATTCAAAAAAAATTCTTGTACATCTATATCTATTCTATTCTCTACTATAAAGGAGTGAAGAAAATAGAAATAGACTCTCACCTAACTATTTTTTACCCAACTTTGTGTCTGTTAGATCTTATCTGACAAGTGAACCGATTGCTATGGCTTATCGTAAATGATCGTAAATTTTCAGTTAGAACAATATTTTTCTCTCACACAAACCAGCCAACAATACTTCTTTACGATTCAGCAACAAAACGAACCAGCCAACTAAACATGCCGTGGAAGCTCAGTCGAAAACTCTTTACATTGACATTGACAACCTTCTGTCTCTTACGGACGTCTCCGAGCCAGTTTTTTTTCACCTAGAATCTTCGTACCCGCGCGTACCCACCGCCTACCCGCATCGCGCTATCTGTCCGCCCCCGTGCTTCCTCGCTCCCTGCCCACCCCGTGACTCCGCTCGCGCAACACCGCCAACCGCCCCGCTTCCTCGCTGTGCGCCGCCCCTCCGTCCCGATCTATACTGCATGCCCCTTCGCTCCCTCCTTGCCTGTCCGTGAGTTCTCGGAGAATCGATCGCCTCTTCAATCGAAACCCTACCAAATCGATGGCCGACGGCGGCGGCGACGAGCTGGAGGCCGGCGGTGGATTGGCGCCGGTGTTCGATGGCCGCGGTGGCAGCGGAGAACTGGGGGCCAGTGGTGGATCGGCGCCGGCCCTGCCGCGCCCGCGAGATCTGATGACGACGAGCTGGTCCAGCTCCGTCAGCCCCGTCCCTCCTTTCGGTGGCACGAAATCCGAGCCAGAGATGCCGGCCGCCTCAACTGCCGCGGCGACCGCGACCGCCGTGTCGTACGCCTTGAACGTCGAGGTGGTTGGCTCCGTGGTGTCCTGGGAGCCATCGTTCTCTGGCAGAAACCTCGCCCTGAACCGTTTGGCAAAGTCGCCGGCCTGGCTCGTGGGCGGCACGTATTGGCGGACGCTGACAACGCCCTGCATCGCGTCGGTGTCCTCGCGGCCTAGCGCGTCGCCGTCGCTGGTGTCGCCCACGGTGGCCGTGGAGATCCAGACGTAGCCCTCGGACATCATGCCGGCGTTCTTGCCCCTGTGAAACAGCCGCAGCGCGAGGGGAAAGGACATGTGCACGACGAAGACGCGCGCCGTCATCGCCGAGGCGCGGTACAGCACCGCGTCGAGGCGGTCGTCAGACGCGTCGGCCGGCACCGCCGCGCGGTGCGCCACGGTGGCGCCGGCGCCCCGGAGCGCGTCGGAGACCGCCGGGACGATGCTGGCGCCGAAGCGCGAGTCCTCGTACAGCAGGACCGGCGCGCGCCAGTGGAAGTTCTCCAGGATGGCCGCGATGGGCGCGGCCTGCGAGGAGTCGTCCGTCGCGGTGGCCACGGAGAAGCGCGCGGTCCGCGTCGCGGGGACCGCGGAGAAGGAGAGGACGGGACGTGGGCGCGGTCGCCGATGCGCGCCACGAACTCGGCCTCGGCGGCCGTCCGCGACCCGTCGATGATGGCCTGCGCCTTGGTGTTCTTGATCAGGTCCACCGCTGCATTGCAAGCGACAGGTCAGGCATGGTCATCTCAGACTTATAGAGTGTCTGGCAGCCGCCACAGAAAGAATGCCGTGACGGCGAGCTCACCGGCGGAAGCGGCGGCGACGGCGTCGCCGGACGAGTTCCGGAAATGCAGCACCACCCTAGTGGTGGAGTTGGCGTGCGCGGCGTAGTAGTCCTCCACCGCCATGCTAGTGCTGGTCCGCCACCTCTTCCCGGGGACAGAGGCCAGGTCGAGTATGACGCCGACATTGACGGCCTCCGCAGCGGCAGCGGCAGCGGCCCGGTGGCCGAGCAGAGCGGCCATAAGGCAGAGTAGGACGAAGGAAGCGGAGGTGGCGGCGAAACGCGTCTGCATCTCCAAGCCGATCGGTTGCTGCTGCTGCTGCTGCTTGTGCCCTTGGGACTGGACCTGGACCTTCTTATACTGGGCGAGGCAGCGGCGAGATTGCGTGTCCGTGCAAAAAAGCATGGCATGGCATGGCAATGCTTCGTGCCGGCCCATCCTTGTTTTTGATTCGAATGGTCCTTCGTTGAACGACGATTTGGCAGTGGCCAATGGCTTGCTGAGTGAAGTTTATTTACTTTTACAGCCAGCGGCGGCGGATGCAGAATGGGAACAAAGAGAGGCTAAATAATGAAGATTTAGAGCTAAAGCTAGAGACTAATGAAGAGATCTCTCAGATAGCAATTGCAAACACGGGCTAACCACCAGCATTCGATATAGACGAAGCTGAGCACCCCAAACATTGTTGTATTTTATCTACAAGAGTTACGTCCCAAGTGCGCAACATAGGTAGCGGATGATGTCAAAAGAAAGCTCGCTGATGCTGGCAGTAGTCCTCAGGAGTCAGGACTCCAGAGTCCAGAAACAACACGTGGCTAAAAGATAAGATAGGGATCTGCAGGCCAACATCACGTACGGTGTTACGCATACAACAATTTGTATCTCTCTAAAGAATGCCATTCATGTGCATCAGAGCACATCTCACACCGGACATCACAGGTGTCATCTCCTAAAAGAGTACGACTTCTTTAGGGTATGTTTGGCCGCACTTCAATCCGCCCAATTCACATGTGATTTTATCCGCCCAATTCACATGTGATTTTATCCATCATAATACACGTGAATTGAGGTGGATTAGAGTGTAGCCAAACAAGACCTTAGCCTATCGAGCACGGTTCATGGAATCATGGGACGCTTGAACCACCACACAACACTATAATGTGGAAAACCGTCATCAAAACACAAGTTCTGCTAATCATTCAAAAGTGTGTCTTAGACTTCGGATAGATTGGCAGCAACATGACTAACAAACAACTTTAATATGCCCACTATTCCAATGCGCGGATCTTGTTAGAATTGTGTTTAATGTATACAATTTATTTACACTTGCGACTTAAGTTTGATTTGCTGATTAGGGTAGAGTTTGGAGTTCGGACCATACTTTGAGACACCACCATTATAGCTATGAGATGACTTAACGACTGGTTTGAGCCGATACATAGACCTAGTAGTGAAGTTAGGATTTGAATCCATTCCCTACTCTCTTCTTCCCCAAAGGTTCGTCGGAATTCTAACGCCCAATCATCCCCCTCCCACTGTCCCAACAATCCTGAACAGTGCAACCAGGGTTCCTAGAGACCGAGAAAAGTTTTGGATATGCTACCTTCTGGGGTATATCTGGTATCCATGTCCTCCCAGAACAGAATGTTAGCTCCAAACCATTTGTTTTTCAGGTACTTGGCACTGAGCAGCTGGCAGCACATGTCATTCTCATCTCCGCTGTATAGTCTCCAAATCCATTTTAGCAAATTCTTGTGTTGATGTTCCAGACCTCCAAATCCTTGGGCCTACATATATTCTCAAATTTGACCATGTGATATTTGAATCTGTCTATGTCCCCCCTCCAAAACAATTTGGATAGTCTAATAGTATCCATTTGCTGATGTGTCCCCTCATATAGATGATACATGCCATAATATATGTAGGGATGCTACTTAGAGAAGCATTCGTCAGGATCAGTATACCCCCTGAGGTCACATTATTTCCTTTTGACGGCTCCAGCTTCCTTTTCATTTTCTCAATCATGGGACTTTACACCCATGTTCCTGTCACTGATGGGGATCCCGAGATATTTCATGAGATAACCCCTCGAGCATTTTAGAATGTTTTAAATTCAGACTTTTTCATATATGATGGCTGCACTCTTATAATAATTGATTTTGAAACCTGAAATCCATTCGAAGCAATACAACATACTACAAGTGAGTGAAACTCCCTGGGGACAAATGATGTAAGGACACCTTGATGAGCCCCTTCTGGTTTGCTTTAGTTAATATTGGTCCAGTGCATCAGCAGCCATGTTGAACATTAATGGTGACAAGGGATCACCCTGTTGTAGTCCCGGCCCCTAAAGGTTTTAAAGTATGGCCCATTAACCCCTAATGTTACCGTTGTCTAAATAGGAATAGGGAACTCCACTAAAGGATGGATGTGGCATGCTGGAGACAATGATGATGAGGTTCTTCATCAAGTTTGGATGGAGAAGTATGAAGAAGATAGAAGCTTGAATCTTTTCCTTAAGTAATGTGTTGAACTTGGGTATCACTACATGGTGAAATGTGTTCTTAGTGCTATGAGTGTTTTTTTTAACAATCACACTTATTCACTTGTGAATGTTGGAGACGGAAACATTGAGTACAGTATTCCTTAATTAAACTAAGCTATTCCCTATAGGGCTAGTGGCGTGCGTGCATGTGGATGGATGGGTGTGTGTTATTGAGTTGTTGAATGAGAAAATAAAAAATGGTCACCATTAAATTTCACAAATTGCATAAAAAGGGCCAAGTTCTTATTTACCAAATCCGTTACTGTCGTCAATGTCTCAATGAAACATGGGGTCCACCTGTGTCACTAACCACGACAATTAAACTTTCAAGTCAAATTGTCTGAAACTTTCCACCCAAAATATAATCTAGTAGTATTAGACAGTTTGACATTATATCCATAGTGGTAATTATTTTTTTAATCTCCCATCAAGAAATGAGGAAAAAGTAAAACAAGCAAACAATGTAACAACGAATTGGAGCAAATAATCAATTGTTGTAGAACACCTCAGCTTACTTGCGAGCAACACTGTCACTACAGTAAAGAAGAGCTAGATTGACTAGAGATGACTGTTTATACATCCATCACAAACGGTAAAAGCAGTACAGAAAAAGTAACCGCATCTCGACTATCAAGCAAATATTTTCACTATATTGCCTGGTCTGTTACACTAAAAACTCTATCCTGTGCAACTAACTCTGATTTTTGCACTCGCAACCTACTACTATCCCATACCTTAAATTTTCATCATTTCAGCTCGAGTTGTATTTGCTACCAAACAAAAGACTGGACAACACCTCCAGTTGCTAGCGCTTCAGCAGTGTCTCAGTTGGTTTGTTTCAAAGCCAAGTGATTTGGCAGGTAGCTCATGAAAAATGGCGAGCATGATTCTTTGCTCAGGTACTTACATCAGCTTCATCCAGTGACGATGACAAATAGTTCAAGATGAAATCATCTAGATCTCCTTCTAGAACTGAATCCGGGTCAGATACTTCATAGTTTGTTCGGAGATCTTTGACCATACGGTATGGCTGACAAAACACAACAAGAACAATTATTTACTGATATATGTTGACACTATACAGGGATGCTCACAGAAATAACTGTAAGTTATGATGTTTGCACTTAAGAGATCCATCTCTATTCCATACTATAGCTCATTAGAAAGATTACGACAGAAATAATAATTTGTATAGAAATATTTATGTTCACTTTTTTTCAAAACTTCATTAGTTAGAAAGATCATGTCAGAAGATTTAGATCAAAACATGTGATTAATGTATCCATAAAGGACCAGAAAGTAATCACTAGTTTGCAGCTTCTTAATTTTTAAAAATTCTGAGATGAGTATGGAAACAAAACAAAAATAGAAAGATTAACTCTATAGACTAGTAGCTTAAAGGGAACACTGAGAACACAGATAATGCTACTGAGGGGTCACAGTTTTATCATAACTAGAGTTGATAGTTTAATTTGGTATTCCAAATGGGAAAGCTTACATGGAGAACATAAGATCTTATTTGGTTGCCCCAGCTGATTTCGTTGAGTGATTGTGTGTGCTCTGCATTCATCTGTGCTTGGCGGGCAATCTCAAGCTGATCAAGACGAGATTGGAGTACTGCCATTGCTGATGCCTTGTTCATGTGTTGTGATCTGCATTTATCAATCAGGAGTACAGCACTTTAACATTTATGTTTATAAACATTCAATGATAGAAATAGCATAACGAGTAAAGAATAAACTTGTGATGCAAAGGAGAAGACATCAGATTTACCTTTCATTTTGAGATGTTGCACTTATACCAGTTGGAATGTGCACAATTCGAATGGCACTCTCTGTAGTGTTGGCATGCTGACCACCAGGGCCACCAGAACGGAAACGTTCTATCCTAAGATCAGAATCTTTGATCTGGTATCGGCTAGCGGCATCCCCAAGAATAGGTATTACAGCAACAGCTGCAAAGGAAGTGTGCCGGCGCTTTCCACTGTCAAATGGAGAAATTCGCACTAATCTATGAACTCCTACTTCAGCTTTGGCATATCCAAATGCATATTCACCATCAACTTTGATAGTGGCCCTCTGGAAAAAGCAGCTGTTTAAGATCAGTTTCTTTTTTTTCCTAATCTAATTACTACTCAGATTTGAAAACAACTGCTTCAGATGGAATAGATTTATAGCAAAAAACCTGTATGTTCAGCAACACATACTAGTGAGAAAAAACAACCTTGATTCCTGCTACTTCACCAGGCATCTCTTCAACCACAGTGACTGTATATCCTCGTCGCTGGGCCCATGACCTATACATGTTCATCACCATTGCAGCCCAGTCCATGCTCTCGGTGCCACCAGCCCCTGCCTGAACCTGAAACCATCGTCATAAGGAATCACCCACTGAAAATCTCATTACGAAAGCTAAAGATGAGCATTAGCGCTTCAACTACAGGTGCTCTAGATGGAGCAGTTAGCTGAAAATTCTTACAAACATAATGAAATTATTAAGGGAGGACATGGAATAAACCTCAATGAAGCAAGAACAAGAGTCATTGTCTCCAGAAAGTAACTGTTATGGTGGGCCGGACCTACCAGAGAAGGAGGAGGAACAGTGGCTGAGAGAAGGGGGGGAAACGCGCGAGGCGCGCTGGGCGCGGTCACCGCGCCCCAGGCCGGTTTCCCTTCAGCGAGAGTTGTTAGATCGGGAGAGAAAATAGGGATTTGTTTCTATCGTTGTAACAAGAAAGCCTATATGGCATAGACAGAGAATTAAGGAAAGGGTAGCCTGGGATTGAGATTCATTCTCCCCTGGGCCCTCGGGCGTTACTGTTCATCGTCATCTCTGTGTCAACCTCGCCCCCAAACCCTCGGCTGCAGCACGGCGCCGTCACGCCGCCGTCCTACCAAGCCACGGCTCGCCTTCTCCCCTCCATACTTTCTCCGCAGCAAGGCGCGCCGTAACAGTAACGCATTAAGTTCTTTCTCCTTTGCACTTCTTCTCATATCGGCTAAAGCCCTCATGCTTTCCTGCACAAAACAGTTAAAATAACAGTTGAAACAGATAGATGGTTTGTACAATGAATGGAAAATGGATCTGTGTTGTAATTTCAAGCTTTATATCATGTCATGAGCACTGAACTCACCATCTCAAGTTCATTATCGTTTTCTTCACGTGCAAGCCGTAGCATCTCAATGTGTTCAATCAATTCCTGCTCAAATTGGTTCACTGACTTAATCTTGCCCATGAGCTCACCCTGCTCACGGCTAACCCTCCTAGCAAAAACTGGATCTTCCCAGAGGTCTGGCCTCTCCAAGACCACAGCCAATTGCTTCGTTCTCTCAAGTATCCATCCCCACTGAACAAATCAAAACAATGCCCAATTCAGAAAGGATAAAATAGCCCCAGTTAGCGAGCATAAACACACTACGCATAAGATGTTCGCTCAAATGCCTGAATGAATCAAGAACCTAAGATGAACACATTCTTGCGCAACGATAGAAGGCAATTAGAAAATTTGGACTACGGAAAAGCACTAAGTATCGGGTGTCATGTGAATATTGTACCTTGAGGCGCTTCTTGATGAGCTTGACTGACTGCGCGACGGCGGCGGCATGGCTGCGCCAGTCGCTCTCGGCTTCGGGAAGAATCGTCCACCCCTTGTCGGCGATCGAGTCCACCGTCAGGCCGTCCGCGGTCATCGGAGCATCCGCCACCGCCTCCGTGGACGGAGAAGAGAACCACCGCACCGGAACGCGGAGGAGAGTGGAGTCGGCGGCGTGGGAGAGGCCATCAGTGGACCCCAGGAGGGCCGCCAAGGCGGCGCCATGGGTGAGGAGGCAGTGAGTAGTTCCTGGCCTCTTGCGGTGGAGGTGGGAGACGAGGCGCGCCGCCGCTGATCTGGTTAAGAGGCGGGAGGCCATTTTCGTGGGCTTCGAACGTGCTCGCCGCCGCTATGTAGCTCGCCTCGCGTACAGGCACAGCCCGTCTAGACAGGACAGCTCCTCGCCATCGCAGCCTTGCACGTGGTCGCCGGCACCACTGCTCGGGATGCGGCCGCCGTAGCCTCGCTCGGAACAGTCGGTGGGGACTAGGGGCGAGTCGCAGTGGCCGTCCGGGCCTCCGGTGCTTGGGCAGGCAGTCTGAATGGGATAGGAATTTTTATGACACGACAGTGCACTCCCTCTGGTCAGAAAAAAAAGCAATTATAAGAAACGTGCCAGTTAAATTTGTCTAATTTTAACCAAGTTTATAGTAAAGAGTATTAGCATTTATGTCTTGAAATAGATTTATTATAAAAATATATTCTATAACTAATCTAATAAGATTTATTTTGTCTCACGAGTGTTAGTACATTTTCCATATAATTTTAGTCAAAATTGAAACTGTTTGACTTCTCAAAACATGAGAAATGCATTTTTTTTATAGACGGATGGAGTATCTAAGAAGGTCGAGGAAAGATTAAACTCGTATAATTAGTCGACTGAAATATACACCTTTTTTTTCAGTCGACGTCCACAACCCTTGGATCTACATCCAATGGCTCGTCTCTGTTGTTTTTCTTCTTCATGCAAGGAAAACGGGTCCGCGAATGAACCCAAAAATCAACCCAGGCAACTACCGGGGCCGCCAAGCCTTAACGGGCAAATGATCCGATACCCGCAATGGAGATTTGCAGCTCATTTGGCTCAAAATGAAACAATCGGCCCAATAAACATACATACAACCATACACTGAATATTCTTGGGCCATACCACAAATCAAAATTAATATAGTACCATTTCTATTCTACTAGTGCAAAATACACAACGAATAGAATATTCAAAATTACAAAACAAGAATATGAAAATTGCACTTTCCAAATAGTGTAAATACTATGTGTTGTTACTGCAATTTTACTATATATGTATATAAGTAAAAGTATTGGAATATTTATACAAAATCCAGCTCATAAACGAGGAGTCTGTTGATAGTACAATTAAAGTGTACTATTTTCTATGCAATTATCTACAGTTGACTAAAAATTATCACATGATGCAAATACATGTTGGGAGGCAAAATCTTTGATATCCTTGAACAAGTCTGTAGCCATACAAGCAGTTAGTAGTCATTAGTCAAAAACATGTACACATGTACTGGTTAATAAATAGAAGCAACAGCTAAAGCCTAGTAAAGATGAAATGAGCATACAAAGAAGTTAAATTTCCAGTTCAGCTCGGCATACTTGACCAATGAACCAATTAAGCAAAGCCATCATTCAATTAATAAGTCAATTTAGATTTTTCTATTCTAGATTCCCATAATGTGTGAACTAGTTTGATAGATCAGATAGCATCACACCAGTTTTGGTAGTACAATTCAGTTCATGTGATGAGTGGCCAAAACGAGCACTTTGGTTAATAAGTAAATAGCACTGATGCCTAGAGAGCACTATCAGAACCAACGACATTCTTCTCGCCAAGGAAAAAAAGAATTTAACTGCATGGAACTCAACACAAATAAACCAAGATGCAACCAGATTACCAGAACATGCATGCCAAAGTCAGAGCTCCCCCTGAACTGCAAGTCTGCAACCTACCCAGTTCAGAGTTCAACCCTGGATGTACAAAATGCCATCAGTCCCGCTCCAGCATTATGGGGCTGTTTGGATGCCGCCCTCGCCTGGACGTGCCTGCCAGGCAACTGATCTCAGCCCCAGGCGATCAAAATCGGACGCCTAGGAACGCTGCCTGGCGCCGGAGCTGCCTGGGAGGCAGCATCCAAATAGCCCGTATCTGCATAGGATCATTTTCTTCTCTGACTCCACTAGTCCGAGCTAGTGAGCTAATTCTCATGATGGATCATTTCATCTAGGCCAACTCCTCAAACCAAACACAACTTTAGAGAATACAGAGTACACAAGAGTTTGTGAGAATGTCAGTAAAAACATTTTTGATATGAATAGTCTGGCAATAAAATGATTACCCCATATTTTTGCATTCCAAGGAGGAGAAGTGTGCTTGAGCCAGTGATGTGAACCCCTACCCACAAAGGTATGTGGAACAAGAGGTTGAAAGCAAAAGCTGTTCCAATAATTGAAAAATGGTAACATTTGTAAGAAGCAAACGGTCAAATGAATGTGAAAACCAATTGAGTTCTATATATTGGCAAAAACAATTGTTGATTAATTTTCATTCCTTAGTTTTACAGGAATAAACAGTGGACCAAATGAATTGGAAATTAGCAAGAAGAACAAATCAGTCAGTTTAGCTTTGGCATTAAGAATTAGTCTACAACAACACTGAATCCTCTTTTATTGTATCCATATATGTTCATTAATATAATACACGATCAACCGAAAATCAAACATAGCAGTTTAACAATATTTTTTTATGCAAGATTATCAAGAAATTATCTTAACCTTCTGGGATATCTGCAGCAATCACAGCTAACTCTTCTAGCAGCCATAGGCAGATTCTCACCCATGCTGGATATTCCGTCTTGCATAGCTCAGCAAGATGCCGCCCTGAGTCAGTGAACAGCCATCAATTCCAATTGACGTGAGAGAGTGTACTGCTAAGCATAATATATACTAGTTCTCTATAAAATACATGTCACTACTCCAAAATTAGCAGATAGTGACTGAATAATTAACGCGAAGATGAGGCCAATCAAGGTCACCCAAAGGAGCTATAAATGAGCAAATTAAAAAAATAATAAAAAGGAGCAAAGTAGTTAGTTTTTGTTTGCATTATGCAAGAAATGTTGCTTGCAAGGGTGAATATGGCGTGATTTAACAAAGATCTGAAAGTGTACCTCATATCTGTGATCTGCACCAGCATGCAAATCTGTTCCCACTGTTCAAATTTAACAAGCATCAATACTATGCGATATAGAGAACAGAGATAGAGGAAGAAATGGTGCACAGCGTACAGTTTCCGGGATCAAGGTAGGCCAAACAGACCATAAATCCTGGGCCAACATGGTACAAGAACCTTTTCCATGCTGTGCCCTATGTTACACAGCGCCATGGAATTAACAAGTATATTTATCCCCCAGTAATCAAAAGCATGAGGCACACAAAAGGACAAAGGGTAGTACATTTTTTATCTAACCCATAGGAGAGCTATGTATCATTTCACTAGAAGAACAAAAGAAGAACAAAACACACACAAAAATGAAATGTTTAAGATTATCAACGCCTCTGTTGTCATACGAAGATCATGTAACCAGTGCAGAAAGAATACAAATTGAGATTTTGTTCTTTTTAGTTTTGCAACACAAGGAAGTCGAGTCGAGTCACACCAAAGAGACAAGAACTTTGACTGAAACAGGAACAGATATTTGTATAACAAACATGATAAAAAAACATTATGTGATACTATTCATCTCTCCTTGAAATGCAAGTTACTATAACTGATTAAATTTAGTGAGTTGATCCACGACGTCATTACCAACCAATGCTTCTCCAACAAATAAAACCAGGTCCGGGCTATCGAGATTGATTAGCTTGGAGAGCACTCTCATGAGTGGCTCATTGTCCTAACAGATTCAATTAGACAGAGACTTCACGTAAACTTCAAAATATAAAGACTATATCCTCCTGTATAGAGACAAAAAGAAGTTACCCTCTAGTACAGAGACCAAATCCCAGCATGATGAATAAGAATCCTGAAAGGAGAGCAACACTTCCAAGTTGATCCTGCAGAGCAAGGAATATGGTCTTAAAAAATTACAAAACACAAATATGAAAATTGCAATATTCAATACTTGCAATTTACATTATTGGTGACTGCAATTTCACAAGCCAAACTGTCAGACAACAAATACAGAGGACTAGCTCTACTGAGGTAATAACATTCAAATATCGTAGCCGCTTAAATGAGTTACTAAAACTGTGCAAGCTAATTCATCGTAATAATGAAATGTCTTGAAAGCTCAATGCAAGGACAAGTTATGGATGAACTTATATTTGTGATGGGAGGAAATATTAAAATCCACCACAATAGCAAAGCCAGCTTCAATAAACAAGTGTATTCAGGTTTTCATTCTTACTTCAAAGATAATCAACATGCTGAAATGCCAGAACGCTGACCCAGAGCTCACTTAGCCAGCTTGGTGGCACATAAATCAGATCCAAATTTTGACAAATCACAATTTCAACAGATACAGGGATGATAGCTTTTGGCAATAATAAAATCACATAATAAAGACACAATTTTTATTCTACGCAAGCACAAGCACAAATACAACATTACAAGAGATATTTTTTTTTATGGAAGGACAATTTACAAAAAAAATTTCCATAACCAAGACAAATCACAGATTATAAGAGAAAAGAATTTTCTATGGAAGGACAATTTACAAAATCTTTTCTCAACACTAGCACAATCACATATTACAAAAGACAATTATTTTCTATAGAAGGACAATTTACAAAAGTTTTTCCCAAAACCAGCACAATCACAGATTACAAGCGATAGGAGGCTGGAGAAGCGGGCAGGTTGAAGGATCAGTTGAGAGAATAATTAGACGCTAAGAACAAGAACTGGAAGTGAACATGGTGCGACACTATAAGCCAGAGAAGCGGCTGGAAGGAACGACAAGGTCGAAACAACAACGAAATAATGTAGCAGATTATAAAAATTAACGTAATTGTTAACAGGACCATAGGAAGAGATAGTTAACAGTCAATGTGACTCAAAATGGCCAAAACAATATTACCTAAAGCCACTGGAATTTGGATACATAACTAGACAGAAAAAAATTCAAATCCACTCAAGATCAGCAAAAGATAAAAAAAAGCTCCTCAAGAGGAGAGCCTCTAATAATCCGGATAAGACACATGACTAAAAAGCCATAAATAGGTGCTTTTTTTCTAATGCAGCACAAGTAAGTGTAGTTGTCGATCTAGCAATGCTCAGGACTATAAGAAACCATATTG